GGAGGTTTGGGCTTGGCTTTGGACACCAGCGGGGCTGTGGTCAGCTGGGCATCACCAGGGGATGTCGTGGGGGGGTTGGTCTGGTTTGGATGGAGATGTGCATTGTACCCGGCTGAGGAGATGAACTGGTTCCTTGAGCGGCGCTGGGGTTAACCCTGTGTTTGGGCTGAGCTGGGGTTAACCCCACCCCTGGGCTGCGTTGGAGTTACACATTTGGACTGTGTAACCCCATGATTGGGCTGTGCTGGGTTTAACCCCATGTTTGGACTGTGCTGGGGTTAACCCTGTGTTTGGGCTGAGCTGGAGTTTAACCCCATGTTTGGGCTGAACTGGGGTTAACGCCAGTCCTGAGCTGTGCTGAGTTTAACCCCACATTTGGACTAAATAACCCTGTGTTTGGGCTGTGCTGTTTCTAACCCCACATTTTGGCTGAGCTGGGTTTAACCCCACTCCTCGGCTGAGCTGGATTTAACCACACATTTGGACTGCACTGAATTTAACCCCAAGTTCGGACTGCACTGGATTTAATCCCACTTCTGGGCTAAATTTTATTTAGTCCCACTCCTGGGCTGAGCAGGATTTAATCCTGCTCCTGGGCTGCGTGGGGTATAATCCCATGTTTGGGCTGCCCTGAGTTAAGCCCCACACTGGGACTGTACTGGGTTTAGCCCCACGTTGAGGCTGCGCGCGGGGCTTATTGGACTGCACTGGCCTCACAGGGAAAGGCTGCAACTGGTTTTACTGGTTTAACTGGGGTAATTCCAGTGTGCTGGGGTTGGACTGACTGCAGTTGTGCATGTGTGTGTGCTGGCTCAGCTCAGCCTGGCATGGTGCCCCCCCCAGCAGGCATGGGGGCCCGTGGGTGCTCAGCACCCCACCAAAGCAGTGCAGAGGAAAGCAGCCCTTTTTTGAGGTCCCCAAGGCACCGGAAGGGCTGGGCACAGCGAGCGGGGCTCTCCCCGTGGCCTTGGGGAGCATCACCCCAGCAGTGCCCAAGGTGGGCAAGGAGTTGCCCCCGGGTGCTGCCAGTGGTCCTGGGGACGGTGCATGGCCCTGGTGGCCATGCTTCCCTCCCTGTCAGCACCCATTGCTGGGCTTTTTCCAGGCACCCCGCGGCTGGGAGGGTGCCAGCGGCATTTAGAGGACAGGGGTGGCTGGTTGCGGGGGACTGTCCCAGTAGCGGGGTTGATGCTCCCCCCGGCCCCGAAGGTGCATGTTGATGCAATGGTGATGGAGGTCACCGATGCTGCAGGGTGGGATGCTGCCGGGTTTCTGGGCAGATCAACGGCCGTGGGGATGGACTCAGGCCATGCCGCGGCTCCTCAGAGCCGGGCACGGCGCTTCTGCAGGGCTGCCAGGAGGAGAGGGGGTTAG